CAATTGCAGGCCGAAAACGTGTGTAAAAATGGAAGCACTTTAGTCTTTATTGCTTTGAAAGCAGACCATGCCCGCCCGGGAGACCCCTTTTTCTGATTCTTCGATGTGAAGTAGCTGGGAAGAAGATGTGACTATGAACCAACATCAAGGTGATCTACTCTTCGTTACCCCAGCCCAAAATCGTGTGCTCGATCTGCTCCTTTCTTACTTTTTCTCCGGATACATCCAGGCGTGTCCCAGATGGCCTGAAAATGAATCTGAGTTGAGTTGGCTTCTTTTTTTCCAGTGGGCCACCGGATGACCAGGTTAAGGAAACCTAGCTAGGATATATTTAGTTACGTGTAGGGGTGCTAGCAAGTCAAGCTGCTCGCGGGTAGCTTGATCAAAAGCTTGACTCGAGCTCGGTAAAATCGAGCTCGAGTTCGAGCTCGAGCTACTCATTAAATTTAACGAGTCGAGTTCGAGCTCAAGAAATAAGTACTCGAGTGCTCGCCGAACTTAATCGAGTTTTCATATTTTATTTATATTATATATTTATATTATATTATATATTATATATTTTTAAAAAAAATTATAGATTTATTTTAAAACTCGAGCTCGAGTAGCTCGGGCTTGATATTTACTCGAGCTCAAACGAGTCGAGCTCGAGTTTAGTTTTATTTCATCGAGTCGATCTCGAGTCCAAATTTTTTTACTCGATCGAGTTTGAGCTCGAGTATGGTGCTACTCAAGCTCGACTCGGCTCGATAGCACTTCTAGTTTCGTATATCCACCGGAGAGTAGGGCACGACAGACGTTGTCAACATTCCATTCGGGCAAAAACACCTCTACGTCACTTCTCTTGTTCCCCGTCCCTGGCGGCCTGGTCTAAGAATATGATCTATCATCCTTAGATCTTTCCTTGTTGGGTTAGTTTAATCACAAGTCGAAAGTAGCGTGAATGGAGAAATTCAGAAAATGCAAGTCTCCATATTTTGGAGAAATTCACTCGTGTTCCGCGTCCAAATATGTAATTCTTACAACATTTGGTATAAAATAATACAATTTTGGTGTAAGCATAAATTCTATCAACTCATACAATTTATTCATTTGAATTTACGCACGCCAAAAGTTATGAGAATTGTAACAACTAAACACAATTAAAGAAGAGGCTCTAATCCATATATTTTAGCCCCTTTTTGAGGGTTGGTACCAAAGCATATACAGGTAAAAAAAAAATAAAAATGCTGTCCTGTCATAATTCACTGGATACCATAATCCAAACTCATATATAGCAGCAACAAAATCACACATGTCAGTTCAACTTTCAACCTTCCGGGAGTTGTGGTTGACGTGGCACCTGTTTGAACCTAATTTGAAGTAGAATGAATAACCATCGTACGCTCAACTACATTCTTTCTCGCAAAACTCATGATACGAGATTAGCAACTGTGTTGGAAGATATTTACCAATTAAGTTTGTTATTTCGTATGCACTCCCTTTGTTTAGTTTAGTTAGTAAGGAATATAATTATGTATGTAATAGGATTAACTCATATGTCTTAGGCATAATCCAAGATGAGGATTGTTTGATTCCTTAATGTCCAAATACACTACTTGTATAACTCCATTGAGCCTTTGCTCGCAATTGTACAATTCTGATAATCTTAGAAGAGTGCTGATAGCAACTTGAAAAGTTAGTTAATAGAAGAGTACTGCAATCAAGAGCCTGAGGGATAGCCAATTGCTCCATGTAGTAGAACTAGAACATATATACTCCACAAAATAAAATCACTTGGACACACATGATGTCAACTTCATGCAAAATCAGATTAGGTGTGCCTACATGCATGCATGGTAAAATATCTCGGTCTTAATTTGCATGTTTAATATGTCTCGCAAATTAAAGGTGCTTTATAGTCTCATTTGTACTTGTGGTATTTTCGCTGCAAACCACTTGGCCATAGATGCCCCTTTGCACTCGACAAGATGCTTACCAACAAAGTAACCGGCTGGCAGACTTGAAAAGAAATGAAACTTGCAGTGTCATGCATTACGTGGTGGTTATGTATTCTATTTGATGAGTAAAAAATAACTAGTAACTAATTAATGTTTGACTTATTTTTGTGGCATTGGTCGCGGCCACAAGTCTCGCTCTTAATATTCCACTCCCTAGAGAGATCATATTACAGACTACAATTTGCATTGTCATTGGACCACCGATGTGAATCCCAAACCCAAAAAAAAAAAAAAAGTGACTATATATCTTTCTCCATATATGCAAGGAGGAAAAGGATTTTTATATATATATATATAGTGCAAAAGCGTAAAATATCGTAGTATATGAGAAATCGCCTCTCATTCAATCCCCTAAAAATAAAAATTAATTGAATGATGAAACCATCACATAAACATCCCTCCCAAGCCCCAATAGGCTTAGGGATGGGGTCATATGAACGTCCAATGAGCTTGAATTTATGGCGATGTGTTCATGCAGCAACATAATCTTGAATACAAAATGAAAGAAAATTAAAAGCAGACTCGTGGACAACTGCCACCCGCAAAATCTATCCCTTTTTAAACTATCACGAAAAGCTTTACAAAAAGCCATGCCCGAAAAAGCTTCCCACTAACACCAGCATGAGGCACAGTCCGATTAGGCACTGGAGGAAACACTCACATAATGGCTCTTAAATTATCATAAAGCTCACACCAAATTCACCAATGGATGGATATCAGAGGAACATGTAGGTGGCAGCAGGGGTGGTCGATGCAGCTGAGCTGCTTATAATATACTTTTATGATCAAATGCAAATCAACCCAGTGAACTATGAAGCCAGTTCTTGCGGAGGAGTACAAACTACTAGAAGGCTCATCATGGTTTTTAGAAATTTTCTAATCAAGCAGCTTCTGTGCATGATCTCCTCTAGTGGAGAAGGGTGCCCACAATTATTTAAGACCAGCACTTAATTAATAACGCAGGCACTCCATCTTCTACTACACTAAAAACTGGGAATGGTATTTAAAAAACATCTCTGGCGATCGATCAGTACTGGCCTGCTTAATGAGATTTTCTTTCCACTAATGGAGGAGTGATCCTAACGAAACTGCCAGCTTAGTAACCACTGATTACCCATTAAAGAATGTGGCAGGTGGAAAGTGCGACTGGGGCAGCTAGCAACCAGCTCTCGCTTTCAATTTTGGATCCATCAACATTTAATCCAATCACGTATCTGTCTCCGGACTAGTTACTTACTTTGTATTCTGGCAATCCATACGTCTATATTCAGCGGTCACTGACCATGTATATTCATTCCTCTGAATTGCCAGGACTTATGAGGATGAATCATCAACTGGCTGCTATATATGCTGCTGGTTTTCTTTCTGTTATTCGTGGAGCGCTCTGGTAGGATTAGACAGTAAAAAAATCAAGAAGTTTCGATTACCTAGTACGTGTCTTTATTTATTTATTTATTTATTTTTTTGTGTGTTTCTAACCTCGAAAAGAAAATTTTGAAATTCTGTGAATTCTATTAGCAATGCGAAACAAAAGTAGCACCTGAACCTGAAAGGCGTTTTACGCGTCGATGATCTGTTGGCTTCACATGCCAGATGCAATGATTAATGATCAGCAAGGCAATCCTGTAAGAATTAATACGCGTCGATTATCTGTTTGAATTCTTGGAATGTAATAATCAATATAAACTAAATACAGTGCAAAAATCAGAATGTGAAAGTGTTAATCAAATCTGTCCTCCTGAAGCTTTGTGTTAGTCAAATCTGTCCTCCTGAAGCTGCTGCTGCTGCTGCTTTTAACAGGGGAAAAGGAAATCCAAGATGAGACGAGGGAATCAGAATATTTATTTGTAATAGTAAAAGAGAACACGTGTTAAGCTTGAAGAAGAGCAACAAGTTTTGAGTTGCTCGGTATGTTGGATTCCACTCAACCAACCAGCCACAGGGTGGAGGTCAGTCTCTGAATGGCCCCGCCACCTCTTCTTCCGGACATCTCTACAAAAGAGCAGAAATTCCTGCTGCTTTCCGCCATTGCCCATTGCTCCTCTATATATATATATATACACACACGCACACACAGAGCTATAAATCTCCAAGTACGTAGGAGTACTGTTGAGATTTAATGACTTTGGTTTCGTGCGTATACGATATGATTTGGTATTAATGATCCAAGGGGCGTTTTGAACTTTGCCTTCTCGAGGTACGTATATATATATATGATATTTTATATCAAAAGGTATAGATAAGATATGGAGAGTATTCAGAAGGGAAAGAGTCGTATTCACAAGCTTTTCCCGCACTCAGTCAACCATATTGAAAGAGGGCAAGTTTTAGTAGAACACTGTGTACAAACCTTCCGTCTATGCCACGTGTACAACAATTTCCATTAAAATCAAACTCGCGGGTTACTTGCTTGTGGGTTGGATATTTAGGCGTTCTACTTGTGTAAAGAAAGTTGTTTTAAAGCTGTCCGAACCCCTCGACGCTGGAAACCAGGCATTCATCATAACAACACTAAATGTATAAATGTCGATGCACAAGCCCAAGAAGAACAGCCCCCATTGAAATGAGCAGTAATCAAGGAGGGAGAAAACCTGGAGAATCATTTATAAATACCACACACACACACACACACACACACACACACACACATGTGTATATTCCTATATCCCTAGACTCGGTACAGGCACGAGTCCATTTATAATAATGTCAGAAACCCCATTACACTTTTCTTCAGAACAGCGGCGGGAAAGTAACAAAAGATCAAATCCCACCAGACCCACACCCGCCCCCGCTCACTGGATTAATTCTCCCAAGCCAACTTCATTGCCTACACTTGAAAAGCGCATTCCCAAGTTTAACTTTAAGTTGCAAGCAACATCTTTAGCGTTGGATGGCACTCTGAAAATTCCACAACTTAAAAATCACAGAGCAGTTGATGCAAGAAACGATCTGATACGCTGTAATAGCTCTGCCTTCACTGAATCAGGAATGGATGCTGTGCAATTAAAAAAGACAAAAAAGAAAAATCATTACATTGGAAGAAAGAGTTAAAATGTAGATCTCGCATTTAGTTCTTCATAAAATTGAGAACATTGCATTCATGCAGACACGTGCCCTGCTGATTATTACAGTAGTTTTAGGGAGCTAGCAGGAACCATTCTATCCTCATCCTCCTTCTCTCTATCCCACGCAATGCACAACATTGCAACTCTCATAGCATCCCCATCCTTATCAGCACTGAAGGAGGACAATAACCACAACAATAATTACCATCATCCCACCAGTCTCACTTTTAATCTTTGACCTAGAGAGTTGCAGCAGATGGATTAGATATTTGTACTACTGCCAGGGTCAAATTGGGTCCTTTAAATATCTCATGCCCAAGCACAGTCCAGTGGAGGTTCCTTAAACAAAGGACACAGTAGTTGCCTTGGAAAAACATGTGCAATACATCAGTCAACGCTTTCCATGCCTTTAGCAATATACGGTCAATTTTTTTCATGCCTAACCAACATTTAATCACAGAGAACCGACCTCTACACATACACCACCATCCCAGAAAATGAAAAGCTAAATAACACATGCAGAAAGGGAAAAAGAGGGAAGAACAAACACATTGAGATCCAGACAAACTTTTTCATTTGTTTGGATGTTTGAGGAAGGAAAAATAATAGTTGTGAGGGAATTTTCTTTCTTTTTTGTATTATCTTATTTCCTTTAATGAAGTTTCCTTGATTGCAGGAGGGAAAATTAATCGCAAGCCAAAACTAATAATGAGAAGGGAAACAGGATTTTAGAGGAAGACATTGCCAAAGGATGATAGGGGTGAGCAAAATGCATAAATTTCACAAGTAGGTGAACAGAATGCAATCCATTCACCAGCACTAATTGCACCGCAAGTATTTTAACATGCTAGTGATCAAAAGCAGAGCCCTGTCCCATCTGGAAGCAACCTACATCAACTTGAGGAATGAACTAATTGACAACGTAACCAAAAGAAAGCAACACAAAGTTGAGAGTTTATATTGTCTAAAAAATTCAAAGAAGAAAGATGAAATTCAAGGTCAAAAATAAAATCAAAATTTCATGAATAAATAAGTAATTTACCTACCTCTTCCCTTTGGGGTTATGACGTGAACAAGATCATCCACAGTTACATTATTCCTTCCTCTCTTCCTTGCAAAAGCCCTTGTGAAAGACAGGTTTTTCAAATATGGAGGTGTTATGAGTGCAAGAAAAATTTAACTACATCTTATATTGTACAAGAACAAACAGTCACAACCGAGAACTCATTATGATTCATAAGCATTTCACTCAAGTTCAAAGAACTCAACTTAGCCTTCAATTTAGAAAGGATAAGTAACCTTTCACAAAAAATGAGTAACATTTTATCACTACTATCTAGAAACAGCTCTTTACATACCAAATATAGAAATCAACGTGGTTTTCACTCAAATTAAATTCTCTACATCAGCCAACAAAAGAAGATTAGAGCAATTTTCTTAAACATTCCTTCTTCAATGTACGCTTAAGTTTTGTCAGCAAAAAAAAAATTCTATTAACCAGAGTGAGCCAATTGTTGGTGCTAAAGTTTAGGAATTGCAACAGGATCCCAAAGTGCAGGTTGGTCAGGAAGAGGTACCCACTAAAGTTATGATCTCTCACCAAAGCACATGCATGGAAAGTGAAGAATCTGCACATGCATATTTTTACCTGTGAACTGGAACTTTTAAGTTGTTTAATGTCGAATACATAGAGATTTTTAGAATGGACTATAAGAGTTAAAGGAGGGAGAGGGTTCGAGAATGGATACATCAAACTTCAGTGTTCTTGAGCATTTGACTTAATAAACGACCAAGGTCCTGGCTAATTCACTTTCTGGAATAAACTTTGTACTAAAGCACACAACTAGATGAGAAGGATATTTGCTTTGTATGCATAAAAACGACCTCTAAAACCTGTCTAAACGACAACCAGCAACAGGAATCTTACATCACAAAGTAGCTGTGGGTCGATTCTAACACCTCACTTGCGTCTTTCATGCAAGACCTATTGGGTTTTCCAGTATACACAAGGTAAGGATAATGTACTGTAAACAGTTTAAGTTCAAGAAGTTGTTGATTTCTCTCCCTGGTGCACTTCTCAAAAGTTTGGTGACCTTTTTGGTGATTGACTCTTTTGAAAAAGACAGCAGGAGGCCATTTTCTTTCAATACACAAGGGGGTAAAATGGTTTAATATGTGCCACATTGCCCTGAAAACTCAAGGGATGCAACCACTGAACCACTCGACCAGGGGCAAAAGACAATAAAGGTCAGGCCTTGAAAATTTAGATTTCAAAATGAGTCGAAATTGGATGGGATTTCTTTTTTTCTTTTCTCCCTATAAAATTGGAAGGTTTGAAATCCATGCAAACTACCATGGTAGTTAAATACTTGGTATCAATAGCTTCAAGTTCGATAAGTAAAGATGCAGATAATGACGCGGACAAAAAAGGCTACTTCATTTCAGTTACTAGCACTCTAAGAACCAGAAGAGGCGCAAATTTAGTCAAAAGTTCGAAAACTGGGAAAGAGGGCGAATGTCCCAAAACCTGCAAAGAGTTTTCATTTCATCCTTCCAACCACATTCTACAAGCCTTTCCCTCAAAAGCTCCTTCAATCTTTCTTTTTCTCCACTCTCTACTAGCTGCAATGTAGCAAATTCATAAATTACAGCCAATTATTCAATATCCAAACTACGCTACCAATTTACAAAATTGAGATATAAAATAAGCTGTTCCATGAATAACTAACCTTGCACCAATTAAGCAGAAAAACTTAATTAGACGAAAGACACGAACGATTACCTTGATATTAATAATTTCTTGAAGAGTAGGTTCTCGATCTTGCTCCTCTTCTTCTGCATCTGGAGTTGGTGGACGTTTAACTGAAGACCTCCTTTAGTTTAAGCACCCCAAAAGCATTGCAGGAATATGCAAAATCAAATAACCAAGAATCATTAAAAAACAATTTGGCAGGGCCAAACAAAAGGGAAAAGAATGAAAAAGTAAAAATTCTAGAGAATCTGATGATGTCGCTGATTACATAATTAACCAAAACCGGCGGGTGCTTTATGGACAGAGCTTGGATGAGCAGCTGCAACAAAGTACAATCGGAAAGTCTCCAACTTTCGTCTTATTTCGTATTTATACAGCGATAAGTCGGTGATTCTTCGAGTATGAAGGAAAGAGTTGCGGCGATTTCCTGCCTCTTTTTTTTTTTCAATTTTTTTCTTTCAATTTATCCGTGTTATGGAATGGATTGTATTTCTCATGTATGGCCTTTGGGGTTTATAGGAATTACATGTAACCACGGAAATTCTGAAAAAGTGGCAAAAAAGCCCAAGAATTTTATTCTCCATCAAATAGGAATAAAGTGATTATTAAAACCATAAACTGTCAAAGGGAAGAAATTTTTAAAATAAATTGTACAAGGATGCTTTCAAACTCTAGTGTACCTCATCATATAAGAAAGTATTCTTTCTTTCTTCTTCCCAGGTCTTTGTCTTTTCTATCAGCAAATCTACCAGAGCTGCATCCACAGATTTAAAACTCCAAGTGTTCTATTACAGAAAATCAAATTCTTAGGCCCTCTGGTGGTTCCCACTACTTGCTGATTTTGAATGTATACCTGGAATCTTGTTAACCAACACTCTAGCACGTTCTGCTCTTTTCAGATTCCTGTGAGCACCTCTGCTGACTGAATACCGATTCTCATCCTGGAAATATTCATCTTAGAAAATTGAGGTACATAAATTGGCAATGCAAACCAAATCTTTATTTCAACAAGAAAGCAGCTTACCCTGCTATACTCTTCCAACCAGCGCTCCTCGTCACATGCTAATATCCATTTTTCTACTTTCTCCATTATAGGCTTCCTGCTGGCAGCTTCTTCTTCTGCTCTAGCTATCTGTTCATCCATGCTCATCAAGAGATCAGCATGGTCAATCTCCCCTATTGCATGGTGTTTGTCAGTGTTTGAGGCTATATATTATCAAGGGAAACATGTTTTGTAGTTCAAAAAAGAAAGATACATCTAAACTGACCGGAGTTTATCAGGTTCATTATATTCTCCATCTCTGATCTTGAAGGGATTTCCATATGTGATTGATTGCATATCTCCTCAAGCTCAAGTTGTTTTTTGAGAAAAAGCTCTTTCATCTTGCTTGCTTTCAATTGGTCCAGTCTATTGACTTCAACCTCGGCCTTAAAACAATTTTAGACAGTCTCAGTGTTAGGTATGACAATCTTTTTGGTGTTTCAGCTTGTACAAACAAACCTGCTGGATTATGTCGAGAGTGAGGCTTCCAGGTGTATATATGTCAGATGATGAAACTGACGATAAACTGGTGACATGAGAGAAACGTTCACGATCTTGATAGTGAGTGTCCATGAGATTCCATACGTTTATTAATGCTTTACCGAGGACTTGAAGCTGCACAAATAAGAAATAATGATCTGTGGGGAAAATATTTGTGTGGAAAATTCACCTGAGCCTCTGGTTGCAGCTCTCTTTCTACACACACACACACACACAGAGACACGCATATGGATCTGTTTATGCTCGTTCTCTTTACGCAATGAAGTTTTTGTCCTAGTAAAATTGACTTTGGTTTTTTTGTTTAAGAAGGGTATTTTATTTATTTATTTATTTTGTTTGTTATGCAACATCCATGCGTTAAGGCATTTTATAGCACACAACAAATGTTCTGTATTCAATAGATATAAACAAATGCAATAATATGGAAAGCAAGCAAGACCGCTTAAGTACTAAACTTTACCTTCTCGTGTCGCTTTTGCTTTTCAGCTTCAAGTGACTCCACAGTACTGTCTAGTTTTGCCAAAATGAAATCACCTATATTCTTCGACAGACCAGACAATGCGTTCAAGCTCGGATGAACCTTTGTGATAATCATGGAGGAATCCATTCCCAGAGTGGCTGACAAGTTCTGAATTGTACTCATATATTTTTCTACCCTTTGAAGTCTGTCGCTCTTTCTTGTCAACAATTGGGGAACAAGAAGAAAGTAAGATGTCAGGTTTGTTAGTTGATGCTCTCATTTTAGATAGTCATTGTGTGCTTCTGTATAATGTTGCGTTACTACTCATACCTTCTCATTGTGAAGTCTCTGAAGCTCATTTTGGTACTCTTCAAGTCTTTTTAGTGAAAGGTCACTTTCATTTACTACAATGCTCGATGATGTGTCATTGTACTCTGATCGACCTGCTATTTCTCCTGAAATCTTCTGAATTTGTGATTGTACAGCACGGAATTGCTTCACCCTCTCTTCTTTTCTCAACTGCATCTCCTTGAGAGCTGGAGTAATTGAATTTAGCTGTTCCTTCAATGTTCCAGTCATTTTCTCTGGCTATCCTTGACAAGGGTACTTGAATTAGCATGTTTCAAGTAGTCATTATCATGCTAAATAAAGTCCGGCTGGAATGAACTGCAACCTCTATGGTGCTGCAAATATTACTTGCTTCTATTGGAATTTAATTGCGAGAACTTCGAGATTAAGACTAGTTCTCAATGTTGCCAACCTAGCTTGGTGTTTTTATAACTTAAAAAATGAACCTAATCAGAATAGCATGCCTCAGCCTGGTAAAATCCACTAAAATGTCATTGGCATATCATGAACTTTAATTCCAACTGTGTATCCACAGGAGCGTCAGACACCCTAACTGAACTCATTCTCGATATGGAAGTGATGTCTTCCACAATTTGAGGTAAATCATATGCTGATTATCCATGAGAATTAGGACTGCTAGATTGAGTTAATCAAGTGCAAGTTTATTCAGAAAAGATGCTGGCATCCATGCCAATTGAATAATTGACTCGACCATCAGAGAGGAAAAGCTGAAAAGTTACCCGTAGAGGGAGGGAACGTTCGCCAAGTGACAGAAGCAGATGGGTAAACTCAGCTTGAGCATCTGCCAGTTCCTGGTGTAGTCGAGCTCTTGATATGTTTGCATTGTCAACTTTCTTTCTATAAACCTCCAGACACTCCTGTTCTATGTCCAGAAGAACCTTTTCCCTTTCAAATTGATCTCCTCCAACTTCATCCCATATCATCTGTCTTGGTAATCACAGAGCCATAATTAGTTATGATTAAATGAAAATAATATAGGCTCGCAATAGAAAACTTGCCTGCAGTTCTTGGAGCAAATATCCACAGGAGGTCTCCAGCAAAACAGGACATTTTGTTCCACTTGGTGTTTGAAAGGAACCCATTTTTAAGGGATTGATGTTTAACTGAGCGCAAAGAAGTTCAGGCTCCCAGGAAGTGGTTTTTCCTGGTAAGCAAGAGCAGATGTCCCAATTTTAAGTAAATTCTAGATGCGGACACTTAAGGGTAAGATGGGAGAGGGACGGTCACGAGGTGGGAACTATAGGTGCGAGTTTTTGCTTGAAAGTTAAGGCTGAACAGGTGGGGTGACATGCTTAAAACTAGTAGTGAAGAACTGAAGCTTTATTTTCAAGAGTCCCCTGATGCTTTTTGTTGCCTAGTATTCTTTCCCTCTCCGACGGTTTACGTTGAAATTCTGATGAACTTATGAACTACTCTCACTAGAAATAAAGGCATTATTATTGTTCCAGTCTTTAGTGTGCTGCCGCTTTAGCGCTCCACAGGACTTGATTCCTAAGCAACCTCTACCTAAAGGCGGAGTAGGTTGCGGCAGGATGGGTTCTCGGACATGAAAGTGGTTTTGGACTTCCTAAGCCCATCCATATGATTCAAGTCACGTACGAGCAGCTAGGACTTCGTCATTGAGATAGAAATCAGTAGTGATTGATGCTACTTGCCTATCAATTAGAGATGGCAGGGCAGTCTTTTTCCCTTCCCCACCTTTCGTTTTTTTTGGGTTAAGAATTTATTTGGGGTACTGATGTCTGGATCAGTGGCTTGAAGTACTACGATTACTGCTTGATTTATTTAGGGTGGGTGAGAAGGGTCTGTAATGATTTGAATCCCTCAAATGTCTGATTCCTTTCCTAAGCATCATTATCACATGATTAGAAATGTTTATTGCCCAAAAACATATGCGCACCTTATTTATATTTGGAATGATGCTTTAGTTAAAAGTCATCCTCTTCTCCAGAAACCTGGAAGTTCGAGTCTAAGAGAGTTCATTACCCTCCAAAATTGAGTTCAACCTAACTGCTACTACTATATATATATATGTTTGTTTTCCAGTCCCACTATTGGCGGATTACTCGTAATTAATTGTTATATTAAAAGACAATTACTACCAAGAAAACTAAAGATCTCTTCACTTATTTGTCCGGAAGGGAGGGGAAAAAAAAAAAAAAAAGGAGGATTAAGAGATTAAGTTATTAGCGAATGTAAGAAAATGGAGTGGTTGAAATTAGTAAATAGTCATGTCACGGTTGTAGTTGCGTATGGTCAAATTAACTCACCCGACGGCGTGAGACACACAGAAGCACTTAAAAGCGCAAACATGGTATGGTAGTATAAGAAACTCCCCGCCTTTGACCGGAGCTTTGAAAAGCATATCATCCTCTCTTCTCTTCTTCACTCTCTTCTTGTTCTTTGTCTCCTCAGAACAGAAGGCTAAGGCTTCCATTTGAATTAGAAGCCATTTCATGAACCTGTGGGATTGGTCGCACAGCCCACTGGCAAGGGAGAATGACGACTATTGAGTGATGAAGCTGTCTGTCGTTATTAACATGAATCGGTGTCTTAAGTTCTCAAAAGTTGATTTCACGGGAAGATAAACACATGAATTTGAAGTTTTAATTAGTTGGTAAAGGATGCAGAAAAATTAATGGGAAGCTAGAAGAAAGCGATCAAGATCAAACAGAAAACTATAACCTGGCTACCGAGTTCACCTTCACTCCTGATGACAGGGCCGCAAAGCAAAGCACAGAATTACTGGTCCGGGATTCCTTCAAGCTCGCTAACACTGACGGTAACTCGCTCACTGAAGACGAAAGCCGCGGAACAGTTGTGGTAAGAACCGTTTGCAATACTTTGCATTGTGAAATTCTGCACAAGCGTGGCGTTCCTACTTGGACATAAACCAGGAATTCTGCTACGCATGAATCATTTGCGTCTCCCATTACGAACTCGAGGATGTATTTAGATAAAAGATCTTTGAAGACATATAAATAATGATCAGTAAGAAACTCCAAAAGTATCCTTTATAATCCTAACCCATTTAACAGGTTGCATGGTTACAAGCTCGAAGCTGCCAGATTGTACAAGACTCCTCAGCAATTCGTATTATTTGCATTTTTATAATTTGCAGCTTATACTGACTTAGATTTCTAAAAATTACCGCTGTCCAATTAGCATTTCAGGAATTGGCAGCTGATTCGGACTGTGTTTAGTACCATGCAATGAATCAGACGTAGAGAGAAGTTTATTTTAAAAAAAAATAAAAAAGAAAAAAACACGAAGTACTAGACCATCAGATGGATGTTTAGGAAGTATTTACCCGAATAACCCTTGGGCATTTCATTTCTCTGCATGCCTGGCAAATGTACCTACCACAGGCCAATAAGTTACACTAGGTTGCTCATTTGTGACCACGCTTTCGATCTCAAGGTTGATGAACTCGCTTGCACCAACCCAGGGGTCCCATGTAGGAAGCGCAGCTCTCCCACGTTTTTCTACCCAAGTGGTAAGTAATTGCTTTGGATGGAAGGAGAAGACCTTGGATCCTCCAGGAAGCGAGACATTGACAGCAATGGAATTATTGTTGCACTAACAGCTTGAAGGAAAGTATCAAAGATCACTATTTTCTCTTGGAATTCATTTTTTCTGTTTATAGCCATCAAATTGTGGAAGGAGAATGATGAGATGGAGTGTTTGCCAACTAGTACCTCTTTACTCCATTTGACTCGGATGTGGTATCCTGAGTGCCTGGAATGACTTACCAAAGTATCTTCTCGAGATCACGTGTTACCTTTCAAATGCAGCCAGCCTTAGATCAAGGGATATTAAAATGTTGCTTATAATTACCTTCTAAACTCTTATCTAGTTAGCTTTTCTTGTGATAAATTGAGACGACTTCCTGCTATTTCAGCATGCATTACTCAACCTTCGCAAGTTTCCAGCTTAATGACAATAACCCAGAGATTTATTTAAGCTTCTCGGCCATTAAATTAAATATCTCTCGGTTTCGCTTTTTCTGCTCTATATTCAGCGCTAACAAACATATTTATTAGAATTCGAGTTGCCAAATTTCACTCACATTCATTACGATGAATTGTAAACCCAGACTGAGACGCCCAAGAATAGCATGGATTATATGCAGCTGAACCTATTCAAATATATCAGAACTCAGACCCAAATTTTCCAAAACTTCATGCTGGTTACATATCAAGAAAGAAGGCTGTATGAAGGCATGTCCTCAATTCGGAGAACATCATCCATTAAAAGTTCTTTTTCCAACTGAGACCGGGTGGTTCTCAAGACATCCTGCCAAATGTAAGAAATTAGCAGAATGGAAAGAATCTTGAAGACCTATAATCAGCAAATCAGCTTAACATGGACTGTAAAACCTGACAAACGGATGTGATGCATGCAATCTTTGACAGGAAAAAAAAAAAATTGAGGCCGCATATGCGGATGTGATGCTCACATTGAATTCCATGTACGTTGCATTCCTTTCCAACCACTGTTTATCCATAATCACAAATGCCACGCAGTAAAGTAGGTCAAAGGCCCATTCATTTTCTGCAAATGCATAGAAGCGTCTACTTATATGTACAGACCTGATGTGCCAAACCTCTGGCTTTCTCATTTTTGACCAAGCAGCATTTGAGGTCTCTTTAGAACACAACAGAATATAAAACCCCAAGGGTCAAGGATCCCACTTCTCTTACCTGACAACATTTGTAGGAAAACAGGTCTCACAAATGTTCTGGGTTTTACTGCATACAGTTAATATGAGCTAAGTTAGCCTGTGCCCAAGTTAGAAGTATCAGTCTCACAGAACTTTTTGTGACATGACCATCCAATAGTTATTCAAATTTGACTAAAGGGTGACAATATTCTTTTCTTACAGGAGTCCAGATCAAGCATCTGCATAAGCATGAAAGTTATATTTACACCACCAACCGCAAACGGATACTCCCAAGTGGCTCTATTACCACCTTCCTTCTTCAACAGTTGTTGAAATGATGTCTGTAGCAAGAAACACAGTGAACTTTTTATTCATCAATAGTTTAAGATTGTAAAACCAAAGTGTAGAGTCATAATAGCAATAATACTTGGACTGTCTCACAATGTAGGAAAGACTCGTTACCAGCTTCAACCAAGGTAAGACTTCCTCAACATGCAGGCATGTTTTCGCGGCTTAAAGAAAATTTAAAGCTACATAATAGAACTCTCCTAGGCAATATTATAACAAAAAATAACTTTCGCACAAACAAATGCAAGAGTAAAAGCTTACAGAAAATGTTTTGGCGAAGAAAAGTAAGTTCTCCAAAGATACGAATCCAGCTCCCCTGGCCAAAAGAAACATCACCAGCATCATGAGAAAATACAGAAATGAGAAATAGACCTAGTTATGATTCTCACAGAAAGAGAGAGAGAGAGAGACCTGAAATCATTTGATGGATCTCTACCCTGCCACCCCATATCTTTCCACTGATCAGATACCAAACTAATCAGCTCCTGACCGGGGTAGGTGGCATGCCATAGAGCCCTTAAAGCTTCCTACCAGTATCAAAGATGCAGTGGCGAGTCATTCAAGTTTTTGAATTATTACTGAGTCAGTCTTCAACAAAGCAACCTACTTTGATTTTTTTTAAACCCAGATACTCTAGGTAGTCTATGGCTAAGTTGAGTTGATTCAACTCCCATTTCAGACTTAGTTACACGGAAACTCTTTATTAGTATTAGGCTTGATGGTTATATAACAAGTGAAACAATCAGTCGTGATTTAGGACAAACTAAAACATGAACACACCTGATGTTCTACTTTGGAACCATCAAAACAGATCCTCATCCGTCGTTTTAACCTTCTCAATCTTTCTTCCTGCTAACTCCAGTGTCAGATTGTCAAACATTATAACCCAAATAAAAAATTATTAACTTCTAGTTACTTGTAACCTTAAATTGATATTCAAAATAAAAAAAGTATCCAGCTGAATTCTAGACAAGTCAAAATGGTCAATGGAAAACAACATAATAAAAATCATGCAAAATATGATTTACCAGTAATTGACAATCCGTTGCTAATACACTTACCTGTTGGGGTGTCAAATCGAAAAAAATTCGTTCATAAGTTCCCTTTCGCTTGAAGCAAACACAAGTGAGACCTTTCCCCATCCAGATGGGTGCCCCGCAAGTTGCATCATCTGCAGTCAATAGAAATGTTTTTCACATTTAATATACAGATTCAGCTGTCTCACAAGAAGCACATTCAGGTGTGGGTCACGTCTCATGAGTGACGGCAATCGGAGCTTACTTTTACAAGATTTTAAAGCCATCCCAACATGAAAAACATTATCAGGGATTAACAGACAGAAACACACAGTTCTGTTATGTATTCAAAGTTAACAAAGGCCACACAAGGCGACAAAAAGATTGACCCAGAGTTCATCAAGACGTTGCTCTCCTGTGAAGCAATAGATTGTCAATGACAATTTAATGCAATGTTTAAACATAAAGAAGAGCAGGGCACAATGCTTCGGCATTTAATGTTAACTTCATGACTCTTGTGGA